GGGGGGGGTGAAGCCGAGCCCCTGGAGTCAGAATCAGATGTTTGATTTGCCCCCCGGAGTGAGACATTACCCCCCCGTCGGATACAAAGCAGGGGGATTTGGTTGCATGGGTCATTACCCAGGGTGCAGTGCAGCAGGAGGCTGGTGCAGCGTGCGCAATGTGTACACATGCGCATCGCCACATGGTCATATCTGTCGGGGAAACCGGGAAAAATCTATTGTCCTTGTAAGTGCAGGTCGGTGACAGTTTGCGAACGCGAGAGGTGCTCTCCACACCTTCAACAGTAGTGTGATTAATCAATGCAGCCCATCAATCACCATCAGAAGCAGAGCTCAGAGGCCAAACAGGGCAGCAAATGTTATATCTAAAGCTAGTGAGGGATACTGCGAAGGAATGAAAATAGTCAATTTGGACACACTTCTTTGCTTTCTTGCCTAGTGAAGAGAAACTCGATATCTCCCTCATGTCTGTACAATAAATATGAAGCTACATCCAGTTAGCTTATCTTAGCCAGAGACTGGGAGCAGGTCCGGTGGCTTCCTTGAGGTGCATTGCTAATTAGAGAGTAGGACAACTTTGTCACCTTTGGAGCCATAAATAATAGGACCGGTTGCCTGTCGTAACTTCAATACTCACTGTACAGACATGAGTGTGGTATCAATCTTCTCATCTAACTCTCGGCAAGAAAGCGAATGCACGCATTTCCCAAAATGTGGAACCCATTCCCCTCAGATTTTGGTCGATTCCACGGTAGGTGTTATCACTTTGAGCGCAGACCGGAACACTACGCTGCTGGGCGTGTGGAGGAGGTTCTGCATTTGCGGATCCATTGGGGAGAAATTCAAGTCATTTGCTGGGAGGCATGACAAGGCCATTGCTCTGCGTCAGGGTGCTGAACGATGACAGCGGCGCTCGCAGAAATCACTGCCATCCTATTCCTATGGATCCCGGCGCTCATTTATTACAGCGCCTATGGGCATCTACAGGGACGAGAGGAGCCACACACACCCACTAATTACTTTTGTTTTTTTAAGCGTTTGCGTTAATACCAGGTGCATCCCGCTGATACAAACCACAGTGTTTATCACCAGTAATGGCCTCTGAGAGAGCGAGAGGGAGATAAAGAGGATAAGGGGGAGAGGGGGGTGGAAATGAAGAGCATTTCTTGATGAGGAACTAGACAGTGGTACTTCTATTTTTTTGCTTGCTCTCTGGTTCTCTCTGTGGGGAAGGGGCTGAGACAGTGGTTGAGTTTATCATGGAGACAATAACACTGTCACACACACTCTGTGGCGGCACGCTGCATCCTCTATCATCTATCATTAAGATTAACATAACGTTCCTGTAGCCAACCACAGCCGCAGAGCCGGTCGGGAAAGACTACACCCCCTCCCTCCCTCCCTCCTCGGTTTCACGTTAGCAGCCCTCATGTCATTTACTATATAGCGTGGCTGCTGTAGTGATATGCGGCCGGGTGAGCAGATGTAAAAACGGTCAACATGTCATATCGTGAATACGCGACAAACCATAAGCAAGAGAAGACGACCCTTTATTACCTTGAATTAATGAAATGCACCCATTTATAGCAGAATAATATAAAGTCATGATATATAATACTCATCTAACACACTTGTGGTCATTTCAAAGTTCAGTTCAGGTGTTTTTTTGGTTTGTTATTTGCCCAAGGTAATTGCTAAACTCTTTCAGGCTAGTTATGGAAATACATCAGGTGTTGTACTCAGTTTTAGGCGAGCTTGGGGAGATTTTGATCCTTTTTTTTATTACAGAGCACCAACAACACCTCCCTACAGAGCTATATTCTTCATGCTGAATTCAGACCTAGATAGATCTATTATCAGGAGTAAAACACAGAAAAGTGTAAACACATTCCATTCTTCCACTGTGCGAGTCACAGGGTGTGATTACAAATATAGTCAAAAACATGTGACGCATCCAGATCTAACCTGAGCCGTGAGGCACTTATAAACATCGAGACCGTATCACACTCCCAAAAGCAAAACCTCTTCAAAGCTATGTTTGAATGGAAATGAAACAGAAATACAGCGGCACTTTGATATTTTTTTTGCAGCCCCGGTTTGGTAATATTTAGGTTTTGGTTAACAGGATGTGATGTATTTGGGTCTCTTGTCGGTAGAAGAGGACACAGAGCTCTTTGTATTGGCCAGTGGTTCCCAAACCCTTCTGCTTCTGACCTCTTTTTATGAGGCAATGTCTACTTATCATAGCGTGCATGTTCATGAATAGCAATTTCACCTCTCAGACTGTTGGATTTGAATTTTTTTGAGAGGGTTGAGGATGTAAAACTATGCAAAATTAAACAGAGAAAAGTGTGAAAAACAGAATTCTATTACTTCAGAGTTTTTGCTTAATCTCATTACCGACTAAGTGATACAAGTCTTGATGACACTGCTGCTCTCGTATAGATTATTCTACAGGTTATAAAAACAGCCATTGGTAATAAATGCCCTCGCCTCTTTTTTTTTTTTTTTTTACCATCTCTATCCTTCAACCCCCAGAGGTTCATGGGATATTTAATAAAACTGCATGTGGGGGGAGCCTCTGAAACAAATAGAGACATCTAGCCATGTTGGTTATTATTTGCACTGTACGTGTGTGTGCGCGCACTGCACCCCAGAGACAGTAAATCTAAACAGTCATATAGGGGTCTCGCCTCGTGCCATCAGTAGTAAAGGTCTCTATAACACCTTATCCACCCCACCCCCACCTCTCACACACACACACACACACACACACACACACACACACACACAGTCCCTATTGCTTTGATCCATTGATAGGAATGAAACGGTGGAGTAAGGCCGGCTTTTAGATATCTACATTACAGTTTCTCTGCTCTGCGTCATAAATCACAAAGCCAAGGAAGAAAGAGATACGAAAAGAGAGAAAAGAAAAAGTACAGAGGAGGGGGGGGCACTCCGTTAAGAAACTGCAACAGAGATGGACAATGTGTGTTTGTGAGGGCAGAAAATAAAGCGTAGAGAAGAAGAGACGGGAGATGTGGGAGAAGCAGAGGAAGAGCCTCCACAAACCGCTGCTGGAACGCTCCGCTCACTTCCTTTGTAAAGTTTTCCTTTAGGAGAGAGAACCGAAACGGAGGTTGAGAGGATGGGCAGGAACCATACAAGAGGGTGAACGTGTCCCATTTAACATGTAATAAGGCAGAACAGATTACCTGCTCTCTCTCTCTCGCTGTCTGTCTCCCTCCTCAAGGTGTCCTTATATCATTTAACATATTCCCTTCTTTCAAGCCCCCCCCCCCACCCTGCTGCACAAGTCAGCACAATTTCCACGGAGGGGACATATTCCGATAGGTTTATAGCTACGGCTACATTCTTCAAAGAACATATTGACTGCCAGTAGGACGTATTGAGATCGATGTTGGGGTTTTCATACAATATGCATGTGATATGCCAATAGACTGAGCGAGGAGCGGTGTCGGTACATTTTTCAAACCAACATA